TTATGCCTTGGCATTATGGGCCAACTTAACATTATTGGCTTACATTCTACTTAATACTAAGGAGTATATCATAGTTGTACAGCAGGAAAGTAATTATTTCATAGTTGTACAGTAGAATATTAATTATAAATGAATCAAAATTTGTATTATACAAAGATATACGTATTTATATTCTAAAATGCTTTTGTGAAAAACAATTATTCAATTATATTCCTGTCAACAATGGATAAAAGGTTCAATGTGATTGCTTCAGTTATGATGTGGGAGTACATAGGTGAGTAAGTGTGTACTGAGTATTTAGCATTTAGTCTAGGGTGAATAAGTGGCTTTTGAGAAGAGTCTTAAATTGATTTTCAGACTGGGCTACTTTAATATCTTCTGGTAATGAATTCCATATTTTGGGGCCCTTTATGTGCATAGAGTTTTTACAGTGTGATATGGACACGAGGTATATCAAAAAGAGATCTGTGTCTTGTGTTGTGGTCATGTGTCCTGTTTAGGTTGGTGTGGAAAAGTTTGAGTGGGGGGTTCATATTTGTGTGTATTGTTCTGTGTATGTAGTAGGCACATGAATAAGTATGGATGTTCTTAATGGTAAGCAGATTCAGACTTTTGAAAATTGGTGGAGTATGCTGGCGGGAGTGGGAATTTGTTATCATTCTTACTGCTGCCTTTTGCTGGGTTATTAGGGGTTTTAGGTGATTGGATGTTGTTGATCCCAATGCACAAATTCCATATGTAACATAAGGGTATATGAGTGAATGGTACAGTGCCAGGAGAGCTGATTGTTGAATGTAGTACCTTATCTTTGATAGTATGCCTACAGTCTTGGAGATTTTCTTGGTGATTTGTTGTATGCGTGCCCGGAACTTAAGGCTACTGTCAAGGTGGATACCTAGGAATTTTCCCTCTGTGAGTCTTGTGACTGATGATCCATTTAGCGTAATGTTAATTGGATCATTTGCAGCTTTGTTTCCAAACTGAATGAAATAGGTTTTATCAGTGTTCAGGGTAAGTTTGTTAGTCATCATCCAGGCAGATATTTTCTGTAATTCAGCATTGACTGTGTTTGCTAGTATGACTGCGTTTGGGTGGGAAAATACATATGTAGTGTCATCTGCTAATAATATAGGTTTGAGTAGCTGTGATGCATTCGGTAGATCATTGATGTAGATGAGAAAGAAGAGTGGTCCAAGGACGCTTCCTTGTGGGACTCCTACTGTGATTGGTTGGGTGGAGGAGTTTGCATCATTTGCATACACATATTGAGTTCTGTTACTAAGGTATGACTAGGTAGTTGAGGGAGTGGCTTCTGATACCATAGTGCATTAATTTGGAGTACAGTAGTTCATGATCGACTGTATCGAAAGCTTTACGTAAATCAATGAAAATGCCCAGCGGGACTTCTTTCTTTTCAAGTGCGGTATATATTAGTTCTAGCATGTGTATGATAGCGTCATTTGTGCTTTTATTATTTCTGAATCCAAACTGACAAGGGTTTAATATGTTGTGTGAAACAAGGTAGGACTAGATCCGTCTATGAATTTATTTTTCAAAGATTTTAGAGAGCAATGGTAAGTTAGATATTGGTCTATAGTTATTCAAGTCAGCTTGGTCACCTCCTTTATGGATCGGAGTGACCCTCGCTATTTTGAGGATTGTTGGGAAGGTAGATGATTCAATGAGCGTTGCAGTAATTGGTGACAATACTTGAGAAGCTTTTTTGTACATAAAAGCAGGCAAGTTGTTTATGTCTCCTGCCTTGTTTTTAAGGATGTTTATGATGAGCATAACTTCAGTGGGGTTGGTTGGAGCTAGGAATAGCGTATTTGGGTAGGTTCCTATGAGGTAGTCTGATGGACTGGCGTTTGTGTTTGGTATTTTGTTTGCTAGATTTTTTTCTATGGTGGAGAAGAAAACATTAAGTCTGTTTGCTGTTTCGGTTAGAGTGAGTAGGGGTTCATCTGATTTTGTTAGTTTGATTGCTTTGTTTTTGGATAACTTTTTAGTTCCAAGAATTTCAGATAGAGTTTTCCAGGTTTTTTTCATATCACCTTTAATGTTATGTAATCTATTTTCATAATACAATTTTTTTGACCTTCTTATCAGGCTGGTTAGTGCTGATGAGTAATTTCTCGACTGTTCTCTAGTTATTTGACCCATTCTATACTGTTTTTCATATTTGTGCTTTGTGTTAATGGATTTGAGGATGCTTGGTGTTAGCCAGGGATTATTCAGTCTCTTTGCTGTGATCTGTTTAGTTTTTCTGGGACAATGTCTGTTATAGAGGCATTGGGCTTTTTTTAGAAAATTATTTATACATTCATTCATATCTGTATATGTTTCAAGCTCATTTTGCCAATCGATGTTATTCATAGCTGCTATAAAGTTGTTAACTGCTGTCTCGTTATGTAGTCTGAAGGTTACTTTAGTAATGTCTTGTGGTAGTTTGCCCAGATTAGTTATGAGAAAGGTTGGGTAGTGGTCTGTAGTGTTGCCCATGATTATGCCTGATTTTAAAGGGGATATGGTGTTTGTCCAGATGTGGTCTATTAACGAGATGCTTGTCTCGGAGATTCTTGTAGGTTTAGATATTGCTGGTAGCAACAGGCAGTCACTCATTGTGTTTGTGAATTCGGTTACTTGTGGGTCCTGGTCGTGTAGTATGTTTATGTTGAAATCACCTGTTAGTAGTAGGTGGTCTTTATTCATGTGTGCATCAGTAATCATGTTTCCTAGTTTTTCACTAAAGTGATAAATGTTTGACTGTGGTACTCTGTAGATGTTTATAACTGTGAGGGGTTTTTGCAGGTCTTTTGATTTAAATTTGGCTATGATATATTCTCCATGTTCATCTCTTGTGCAAGATTTATTGATACATTTGAGTTGATTTGAATAGTATATAGCTGTTCCTCCCCCTTGCTGGTCTGTTCTACAGTTGTGTATGGCCATGTAGCCAGGAATGGTATAGAAATCTATAATATCAGGCTTAAGCCAGGTTTCTGTGAGTGTGATGATTGATATATTGGAATGAAGGGAACTGAGTAATGCTGTGAGGTCATCATAATGTTTGCTCAAGGATCTGACATTGTAGTTAAAGATGGTTATGTTATTGTTTGCACTGAGTAATGTCTTTGCTTGGTCTGCTGTGTAGTAATTATAGTTGCTGGTTGGTTCATGTAATTCATTTTTTAAAAGTTTACATCAGGATCTATGCCTGTAATCATAGGATGAGAGTAATTTTACAAACTAGATTTTCTGAGTAAAATGATATAAGATTTATATAGAATCTACAACTGGACTTATGACTAAGACACATAGCAGCATATGTGTAGAGAACCTAGAATAACCCAATAAAAGTCAGACAGAGTGACTTATTTCCCTTGGGGTCCTTTGGGAACTTTATATTTAGTGCTCTTATATGTCCTAAGATTGTTATTTACTCTTATTTATTATACAGTGGACCCCCGCATAACGATTACCTCCGAATGCGACCAATTATGTAAGTGTATTTATGTAAGTGAGTTTGTACGTGTATGTTTGGGGTCTGAAATGGACTAATCTACTTCACAATATTTCTTATGGGAACAAATTCGGTCAGTACTGGCACCTGAACATACTTCTGGAGTGAACGAATATCGTTAACCGGGGGTCCACTGTATTTTGTCTTTTACAATTAATTTTCTTTTTTATAAATATCAGCAACAGTTTTAGCCCCTTCTCCCCTTCTTGACTCTTTTCTGATTTAAATTGTACATTTTATGTGCAACACTAAATGAGATGTACAGGTAAATTTAACACTTTTTAATATATGAAATTACAGTGGAACCTCAAATTTCGAACTTAATCCGTTCCAGGAGCTAGTTCTAAATTCGAAAAGTCTGAAATTCGAAGCAATATTTCCCATAAGAAATAATGGAAATACAATTAATCCGTTCCAGAAACCCAAAAATATTCACACAAAAAAATACATTTTATTGAGATTAATTACAGTTTTACATACACACAACAAATGCTATAGTCTTTAATTATGTATAGTAATATAAAATAGCATTTTTACTTACCTTTATTGAAGATTGGTGATGGCATCTGGAAGATAGGGAGGAGGAGAGAGGGAGTTGGGGTTATTGTTTGGAAGGAGAATCCCCCTCCATGAGGACTTCCGGTATCAAAGCCCTCTCTGGGGTTGCTTCCCTTCTCTGTGTTTTAATGCCACTAGGACCAGCTTGAGAGTCATTGGACCCCTGTCTCACAAAATAACTGTCTACAGTCCTCTGTTTCTGTCTCACAAAATAACTATCCACAGTCGTCTGTTTCTGTCTCACAAAATAACTGTCCACAATCGTCTGTCTCACAAAATAACTCCACAGTCGTCTGTTTCTGTCTCACAAAATAACTGTCCACAGTCGCCTGTTTCTGTCTCACAAAATAACTGTCCACAATCGTCTGTCTCACAAAATAACTCCACAGTCGTCTTTTCTGTCTCACAAAATAACTGTCCACAGTCGTCTGTTTCTGTCTCACAAAATAACTGTCCACAGTCCTCTGTACATCCTGGCAAGCTCAAGAAGTCTCACTCCAATCTCATACTTCTGTATTATTTCCTTCTTCACATCTATGGTGTTTCTCAATTTCTTTACCACAGGGGTACCGCTAGCAAGTTTCTTTGGGCCCATGGCAGCTTATTTCACAGCCCCACAAGCACTAAACACAATTAAATAATCGTAAAATGTGTGAATGAGATCGCAGGTTAGTGTTCACGCAAGCATAAACAAAGCTAGACTGCTCACTGCGCCTGCACGGGGACGTGGACAGAGCGGGCCAGCGGACAGGTCCCGTACCCGGCGGTCCGCGTTCGATAATAGGGACACAGTTTGTCCGAAAAAATGGTCTTATTTTCGAAACATTCGATATGTGATACATTCGATTTTTGAGGTTCCACTGTACTAAATTTAAAAAGAAAAACTTGTTTTTCTTTTTAATCTTGTTTTTCTTTTTAGGTCACCCTGCCTTGATGGGATGCGGCTGGTTTCATGAAAAAACAAAATATAAAATAAACATGAACTTTCATATAGGAGAAAAAAATTATCAGTGTTCAAAATGTCTGAAATTTTTTTTAACAAAATCATCTCTAATAAATCATTTGAGAGCACATACAGGAGAGAAACCATATCAGTGTTTGGAGTGTCTCAAGGCCTTTTCTAAAAAGTGTAATCTAATTAATCATCTGAGAGTTCATACAGGAGAGAAGCCATATCGGTGTTTGGAGTGTCAAAAGGCCTATCAACATAAATCATCTCTAATAAATCATCTGAGAGTTCATACGGGAGAAAAACCATACCAGTGTTCTGTCTGTTTGAAGACTTTCTCATTGAAAAAAAGTCTAATAACGCACCAGAGATTTCATACAGGTGAAAAATGTCACCAATGTGTCGAGTGTCGAAAGGATTTTTCAACAAAATTCAATCTAATAAAACATATGAAACTTCATACTGGACAGAAACCATATCAGTGCTCCGAGTGTCCAAAGGCTTTTTCAGAAAAATCAAGTCTAATAAAACACCTGAGAGTTCATACAGGAGAAAAACCTTTTCATTGTTTAGAGTGTCTAAAGACCTTTTCACAAAAATCACAATTAATACAACACATGAGAGTTCATACAGGAGAGAAACCATATCGGTGTTCAGTGTGTCTAAAGGCTTTTTCAGGTATATCAAGTTTAATAAAACACTTGAAAGCTCATGTTGGAGATAAACCACATCAGTGTTCAGAATGTCAAAAGGCCTTTATAGATAAATCAGATCTAATAAATCACCAAAGAGTGCATACTGGAGAGAAACCATATCAGTGTTCAGAGTGCCTAAAGGTCTTCTCAAAAAAATCAGATCTAAATGTTCACTTGAGAGTTCACACAGGTGATAAACTTTATCGGTGTTCAGAGTGTCTAAAGGCTTTTACAAAAAAATCATACCTTATAAAGCACGTCAGAGTTCATACTGGAGAAAAACCATATCAATGTTCAGAGTGTCTAAAGACCTTTTCAAGCAAATCAGCACTAACAAAACACATGAGAGTTCATACAGGAGAGAAACCATATCAGTGTTCAAAATGTCTAAAAGCATTTTCAGAGAGGTCAAGTTTAAGGAAACACTTAAAAGTTCATTTAGGTGATAAACCATATCAGTGTTCAGTGTGTCTAAAGGCCTTCATAGAAAAATCAAGTCTAACACAGCACCTGAGAGTTCATACTGGAGAGAAACCTTATCAGTGTTCAAAATGTGTGAAGGCCTTTTCAAAAAAATCTAATTTAACTACACATTTAAGAATTCATACAGGAGATGAACCTGACTTAGATCCAGTGCTGGGCTGCAGGACTGTTGAAATTCAGTAATTGAAACTTGCCTCAGGTATAACTCACCATCATAAGAAAAAGAAAATCTAACTTTCAGTTTTGAGATTGATTCGTCAGTTCATTAATTATGGTTAACTTTTGCCATGTCTATACAGTGGACCCCGGTTAACGATATTTTTACACTCCAGAAGTATGTTCAGGTGCCAGTACTGACCGAATTTGTTCCCATAAGAAATATTGTGAAGTAGATTAGTCCATTTCAGACCCGCAAACATACATGTACAAACGCACTTACATAAATACACTTACATAATTGGTCGCATTCGGAGGTAATCGTTGTGCGGGGGTCCACTGTATATTCTTCCTTGAGGACTGTATCATTGAATTATCATTGGTGATTTGATAAAGAATAAATATGCTTAGTTTTCTTTCTTTCAAATTGTTATGAAACCACAGTAAAATAAATTTTAATTGTTAAAGAACCAAAAATAAATTTTTATTCTGTTTCATCATATGAAAATGAAAATATTTATTTTCATAAAGTAGGGATGGGACAACACCAAATTTTTGCAGATACTGATGCTCAGGTTTAGCCAATTCAGATCCCATCAAAGTTAGCCGATAGTGGTACCAATGACAAAAATGACCAATATTTTTCTGTTACTGATATTCTGTTTTAGACCCATATCAGCACAGAAATTGGCTGATACCCACCAATACTGATACTTAAAGTACTTTATTCATTTAATATAAGAATACCTGGAGAGAGTTCCGGGGGTCAACGCCCCCGTGGCCCGGTACTGTGACCAGGCCTAATGGTGGATCAGAGCCTGATCAACCAGGCTGTTACTGCTGGCTGCATGCAATCCAACGTACGAGCCACAGCCCGGCTGGTCAGGTACCAACTTTAGGAGCTTGTCCATATTTAACCATTTCAGTATCATACGTAGATCTATGTTACTGAAGCCAGAGCTAATGTATATCTATGGCATGAATTCTACCAGCTTTAAATTTGGCACAAGAGGTCTGATAGACCTACCAGGCCTTGTACCAAATTTGAAGCTGGTAGAATTTATGCCATAGAGCTTCGTTAATGACTCTGGCTTCAGTGATGTAGATCTATGCAGTGTGTGCAGTATACAAAAAAATTAGGGTTTCCCTAAAGTGCATTGTGGGAACACCATAATTAGTACAGCTTAATCACCATGCAGCACACATACAAAGGCTGGAAGGCATGGCCCACACTCAATAACACAACAGCTCACAGCTGCCTCCACAACACCCACACAACCAATGCAACCAACCACTAATATTCAGCAACCACCAGATTGCATCTGGGATTGACAGGAAGATGCAAATTTTGTTCCCAATCACCAACAGTTTGATGACACACACTGTAGAATTCATCTCAGCTGTAACCTCAGGAATGACACGAGTGAAATTGTACTGTTTAAAATATATTTCAATGTATCCCTGATTCAAATTATAGTGAGGGGAAAGCTGCAGATACTTCCAGTATAAAATGACAAGCACATTATTTTCCCCACTGTGGCATGCAAAAAGTATGTAACCTTTATTCGACGCATGTACACACCCTCATTTACAGGCTATCTCCCCCAACCAGCGAACCAGGGACTAAGGGTTGACGATGGGGCCCCGTCGTTCAATCAGTACCCAGGTTCCAGCCAATGAGAAGATGGTTTTGGCAATCGCAGAGGTGATGTGGGTGCCACTCGCCTATCTGCCCTTGTCATTCCCATTCTAGAGCTGGTTGAAGCATGGTCTGCTTTCTAGTGGCTTCTATTCTGCCTTGCTTACCGTGGAGTGCACTAATACCTATTGTTGTACATAGTGTACATACTTCTGTTCTAAATTTGTGAAGGATAATATCAGTCAAAAGTTTTTCTGCTGTGTTTATTTTGCTCCCTTTACACCCAGGATAACAGGCCTTTAGGACTCCTGGGTTGTAATACCCACAATCATGGCTATGCCAATTCAAAGACACAGCTGTACCTCTGTTGTATCTCTTCTTTGTCACAGTAATGCTTATGCCACATGTGTAAGTGCAATATCATACTGGTCAACTGACTGCCTAATTTGTATCCCTGCTTTCAGTGATCTCATGCCTATCAAATTTATCCTGCTGCTATGCATATGCATATTATTCTGATTTATTTAGGAAGGGTTGGAGGGAGGGGGTAAAGGAGGTTTTGTGTGCGAGGGGCTTGGACTTCCAGCAGGCATGCGTGAGCGTGTTTGATAGGAGTGAATGGAGACAAATGGTTTTTAATACTTGACGTGCTGTTGGAGTGTGAGCAAAGTAACATTTATGAAGGGATTCAGGGAAACCGGCAGGCCGGACTTGAGTCCTGGAGATGGGAAGTACAGTGCCTGCACTCTGAAGGAGGGGTGTTAATGTTGCAGTTTAAAAACTGTAGTGTAAAGCACCCTTCTGGCAAGACAGTGATGGAGTGAATGATGGTGAAAGTTTTTCTTTTTCGGGCCACCCTGCCTTGGTGGGAATCGGCCAGTGTGATAATATATAAAAATATATAATATATGCATATTACACTTCTCAAACAAGACAAGGTCTGACAGGAACAACGTGCTGTACAAGATTAGTGGTGTTTTTATGTATCTGAAACAGAAGTTTAATATGTATGTTTTCATCCCTTCAAGAACTTTTGGAAGGTTGTTATTCTAGTAGTATTTACCAAGCAAGAGGAAACCCTGTGGTATTAAACTGTGCTGTGTGATTGTGAAACTTGCCTGGTTGTGTACACAAGAAGCAACACATTGATAGATACCGGGAAGTTATTGGGTATCTCACATGATAATGTAAGAATAATAATGGAACCATATCTTGGTAAGGGGTGATTTCCTGCATTTAATCATGACAGATGTGTGTGGTACAGTGTGTGGATCATGTAAACATATTCCCAGGCTCAATGCAGGCATCGGTACTGGTGAGGTGCACGTTTTTCATAGCATGACACTTTGGTAGCATGAAAAATGTGATGTAACACTGATTCACCATGAAATGAAAGGCACTGGATGAGTAAATAGAAACACAAATGAACCCATTCTGAAACTTGCGGCTGTCATGAATCACATCCCAGAATGTGTTTGGGTGACAAATGCTGGATGCAGATTGGCTGTCCTGTATCTACAAGCGTTGCAAGTGGTACATGAAATTCTCCTTCCATCTTGTGGACATTGCATGCTTAACCCTTTGAGGGTTTTCGTCGTACTAGTACGTTTTACGCGTAGGGGTTTTTGACGTACTAGTACGCATAAATTCTAGCGGCCTCAAATCTAGTGGGAGAAAGCTGGTAGGCCTTCATATGAAAGAATGGGTCTATGTCGTCAGTGTGCACAGTCTAAAAAAAATCCTGCAGCACACAGTGCATAATGAGAAAAAAAAAACGTTGACCATTTTTTTGGAATAAATCAGCGACTTTGCAGTGTTTTTCGTATGGTATTTATTGTTGTATTCTAGTTTTCTGGTCTCATTTTATAGAATGGAAGACATATTACAGAAATTGAGATGATTTTGGCTGGTTTTACAAAGAAAGGTGCCTTGAAATTGAGCTCAAAGTAGCAGAAATGTTCGATTTTTACCAAACTTCAAAAGTAAACAAATCGTGCCAAGCGTGCATACACGTCAACTGGTGAGTCTAATATTCTTTCACAAGTGCACCAATAATATTATACCATTTTTTACACTAATGCAGTAGTCTGCATAACAGTAAATCTTAATTTTTTGTGAGAATAAAAATTCAAAATGGAAAGCAAAAGAATATAAGAGGGGCCTTGAGACGTGACTAATAACTAGAGGAAATGTCATTTTAGTGCCAGGAATGTCTTTCTTGTTTATTCTGGACCCTATTCGGAAATTGGCATCTTTTGAAATTTGTGTGAAAATTGGCAAAATTGCTAAATTCTGACCACTGTACTGGATAGTTGAATTTCATAAATGGGTGGTTTCTTGCACCATTCGATAGAAAAAATGGAAGTTCTAGCGAAATATTCATGTTTTTTGTCGACTAGTACAGCAAAATTGGCCGAAAATGGGGCTCAAAGTGGGCAAAATCGCCGATGCATAAACATCGCCGAGACCGCTAACTTTGCGAGAGCATAATTTCGTAAGTTTTCTATCAAATTTCAAACTTTTGGTGTCTTTATGATCGGGAAAAGATTCTCTATCTTTTCATAAGAGAAAATAATTTTTTTTTTTTTTAAATTTGGCCGACCCTGAGAACGAGTTTCGGAGAGGGCCTGTCGACCCTCAAAGGGTTAATGGAGTAGGGCCCCACTTATTCAGTAGGTTAGGTTCCAGGCTACCACTGGAAAGCGGACATCACCGGAAAGCAGAACACCATTTTATTCCACTTATAAATGCATATAAATGCCAGATAATAAGTTTACACTAACATATCTTAAGTTAGCAATAGAACTAGACAATAAAACAATAAAAAGTAAAATACACAAACAATACACTCATTACTTACCTTAAAATATTTGTTGTCTTAATGTAGGGTGAGAGATGAGTAGAAATTTATCTGTAGGAAGTCGGGGTGAAGAATTTGGGGGTACCAGCCACCCCCCCCCAACCCACACATTTTTAAATTACGACATTTAAAGCACCCCAGATTAAATAAAGTAATATAACCCTCTCTCACTTAACGAGGGATTTTCCTTTCCCTAAGCCCAAAAGTTTTAAACAAATTCGTCCCCAAAGTGAGGAGCATATTAATGGTAAAGGGGTGTAAACTATTTTTGATTTTTTTTTAAAATTCACCTTTGCACCTTTTATAACATATCTGGTATATTTTTAAAAAGTTTAAACAGTAGTGTCCTGTATATTTGAAAAAAAACAAAATAGAGAAAATCAGCTCTAACTTTCCATTTTTTTGGGGTTTCAAAATTACTTGTAAAGAAGCCCTTCAAATTTCCGGGCCCATGGGAAAACGAGTACTCGAAAATGAGGAAAAGCTGTTGCGTACATTCATTAATTGTTTTAAAATATTTTTTGCCCTTAATTTTAGGGTGAAAAGGTAAAGTAAAATTTAATTGTGGGAAAGTCAGGTGTGGGAGGTTTTTGGTACCCAAAACCAACCAGGCCCCCCCAAACCCACACGTAAATTTACGACTTTTAAAATTTGTCTGGAGAAATTGAATTTGACTAATTTTGGCTTACCTTACAAAATTTGAAAAGGCCTTTTTAATGAAAGGGGGGAGGTGAGAAAAAATGGGAAAAATTTAAAGGTTAAACAAGAGAAAAAAAGTTAAATGAGGTAGGGAGCGAGACACGTGTATTTAAACACGGGACGAACACGTCGGCTTTGATTCATACGTGCTCATCTGCACCCTAACTTTCTCATTTTTTATGTTAGTTTTTTCCCTTATTTGGGGTGTATTTATCACTTTTATATGTTAGGGTACAGTGGGACCCTTCGGCCTTACGATATTAATCCTTTTCTTTGAGAGCTCATCATAAGAAAAAAATTATCTTTAGGGAAAATTTAAAATTTTCCCCCATAAGAAATAATGGAAATAAAAAAAAATTTACCGTAAAAAACCCCAAACAAAGTATAAAAAAAAAATAATTTTTTTCCCACAGGGAAATATTAATTTTTAAAACACACAAACTTAAGAAGGGCATCATAAGGGAAAACAATACATGACCCTTTATTGAAGATCGGGGATGATTGTGGGATGTGAGGAGGGGGAAATGTGGGAAATTGTTATTGTTTTTTGGGAAAGGGGGAAACCCCTTTCCCTTAGAGCGAGGGATTCAAGTCCTTTTTGGGGTTACTTTTCCCTTTTTTTTTAATGCCCCCCCCGGGCCAGCTTGAGATCCTGGACCCCTTGGGCGCACAACAAAATTGTCCATATCTCCCCTTCCTTTAAAAAAACTTTCCTAAAAAGGACCCAAAAAATTGTTTTTTTTATTAAATTTGAAAAAAGATAAAAGGAAGTACAAAAAAAATCAGTAAAATGCAGCATGCCAAAAAACCACTTTTTAAAGCCTAGCAAATTTTTGGGGAGGCTTAAAAAATTTAAATTAAGATTTTAAATAAGCAATGAAGTATTCCCCAAAAAAAGGGTTTAAAAAAATTTTTGTAAAACAGATAACAAGCACAAATGGTTTTTACAAAAAAGGGGTATGGTTTTCATGCCCTTGGGTGTACAAAAAGGTATTTAATTTTTTTATTTATTTAAAATTTTAACATTAAATGAGAAGTACAAGGAATACAATTTTTTTAAAATGCAGCATGCCCAAAACCCCTTTTTTAAAGCAAACCTTTTTGGGGAGGGCTTAAAAAAATTAAGAATTTAAATAAGCAATGAAATATTAAACGGTACTAAAAAATTATTGTAAAACAGATAACAATTTAGTACAAATGAGTATTACAAAGACAGGTCATATGGTCATTTACTGTGTTGCTGTGTAATCAGTAGAATGGAGTATTATGTTAGCGAGTTTTGGTCATAATTTGAAATGTTCGTATAGTGGAACGCTGTAAAGCGGGGCTCTACTGTAAATATATGTACAAGATGAGGACTGACAACAGACCACCCTATGCTCACTTTTGTTTGTATGTCATGAGGCAAATAATACACATACAGTGGACCCTCAACCAGCGATATTAATCCGTTCCTGAGAGCTCATCGTTAGTCAGAATTATCGTTAGTCAAGTTATTTTCCCCATAAGAAATAATGGAATCAAATTAATCCGTGCAAGACACCCAAAAGTATTGAAAAAAAAAATTTTTACCACATGAAATATTATTTTAATACACACAAACTGAAGATTACATGCACAGTTACATGACACTTACCTTTATTGAAGATTGGTGATGATTGATGGGATGGGAGGAGGCGAGAGGTGTTAGTGTTTAGAAGGGGAATCCCCTTCCATTAGCACTTGAGGCAGCAAGTCTTTTTCTGGGGTTACTTCCCTTGTTCTTTTAATGCCACTAGGATCAGCTTCAGAGTCACTGGACTTCTGTCGCACAACATATCTGTCCATAGAGGCCTGTACCTCTCGTTCCTTTATGACTTTCCTAAAGTGGCTCACAACAGTGTCAGTGTAATA